GTTTAATATACTTTAAAATTGGTGGATTGTAGTTTTTTGTTCATTAATCATGATGGACTGGTATTTTACCAAGGAAAAACAACCACAGCATTGCTCGTGTATCCTGTGACAGCTGAGTAAGCAATGATATTGTTAAGAAACGAGTACAAGGTACTGATGAAAGACCAGTAGATGAATTAGTGAAACTTCATCAGTTGAGGTGGTTGGGACGTGTGTTACGAATGTCCAACCACCGACTACCTCGTCGAGGAATAGGTTGGATGAAAGCTAGGGGTGGCCAAACCAAAACATGACATAAATCCATGAAGTCACTGACAAGTGGATTAAGTTATGTTGGTAAGTGCAGGCTACCTAGTTGGGGTACGTGAGATAATCATAACTCATGGTTAGAGACTTTGAATGACATGGCTCAAAATTGTTTGCAATGGCGCAGGTGCATCCACTCTTTGTGTTCTCTCAAATTCCAATCTTCAGAATTCCTCGTCATCTTAATGTTTCTCGTTCTAAATTCATCTCACTGAACTATACTTCTTGAATAATAACTTCGATCTATAATCTCTCCGATTAATGCTAATACTTCTACTACCTCTACTACTATAGGATTTGAATTGACAATTCGATCTCTGTTTGTGCTAATGTGGTATGGTGACTTGAACTGATGTACGTACGTACGAAATTCTACGTTGCGATTGACTGACTGACTGAGGGAAGCAATCAAACATGAGAAGTATTTACACTAACGTTGCATTCATGATGATGCAATGTGAAAAATGAAAATGTTTTTTTCCAATTCGACTGAGTCTTGAATTTGTGCAATGGAGTGAAATTCAATTTACTTGTATTGGTTAATCTGAACATGCCAGTAGCTATCTGGGTTCAGTAGCTAAGTGGACTATTAGATAGTGCTTGAAGTGGACGGTACTGGATTGACCCTCAGGAGTGAACATCAACTCTAGGATGCAGGCATACTCAGCTGCAAACGAGTCCCAAATAGGATGGAGTCTTTTCAAAACTCCAAGCAAAACAAAAAAATGTCTCGTGTTTTCAATTTCTTATTTTCTCAATCAATGATGAAGTTTCACTACATCAATTGAGGTGGTTGGGACATGTGTTATGAATGCCGAAAAAATGACTACGTAGACGAGAAAAGTTGTCTGATGTAGGGGTAGGCTGGAAGAAAGCTAGGAGCGGCCAAACCAAGATACCGCACAAATCCAAGGAGTTAATGACAACTGGATTGAGTTATGTTGGTAAGTGTTAGACTACTTGGTTGTGGTCCGCGAGATGATGGTAACCGACGGTTAGAGACCTTGAATGACATAGCTCAAAACCGCTTACAATGTCACAGGTGCATTCATTCTATGTGTTCTCTCAAATTCTTATCTTCAGAATTCCTCATCACCTTTATCTCTCTCTTTCTAAATTTACTTCACTGAATTACACTTCTCGAATCATATCTTCGAACCCTAATCTCTCCGATTACTGTTAATACTTTTACTACCTCTACTAATATGGGATTTGAATCGACAATTTGATCTCTGTGTGCTAATATGGCATGTCAACTTGAACTGTCGTACGTGTGTACGAAGTTCTACATTGTGGCTGACTGATAGACAGACATAAACCTTAATAAGTTTTTTTCACTTTCCTCTTACACTGAATAGTAATTAACACGAAATGTACTTTCAATTTCAGATTAGACTAATGAGTCCCATGTGACCAACCAGGACGAAATGAAGACTCATTAGCTCATCTCACACAATACACACAAGCACCATCGCGCACACACACACACATACACATTATCAAGTATGATTAAAACAACTTTGAATGTAACACAATTTGAACTCAATAATGATTGAAGTCAAATTTTATGTGTACATTGGAAAAAAAATAATAATAAGGCGATTGAGTTTTTTTCAAAAAAAATAAGCAAATGGTTTATACTTACCTTCTTTGGTTTTTCGACCTTCACATATTCTTGAAATGAAATTGAAAACAAAAAACAATTACTAGTTACTACTTGTTAAGCTTGCACGTAAACACGTCATTTCGATATTATACTTGAACTATTACGAGTTGTTTACCTTAGTCGGAATACGAGAGAGAGGATCGAGGATCCAGTGACACGACAGGCTACTCTAATCTAAGTGTCTCAACCACCCCATTGAGTAAAAGACTTGATATGAAGTATAACATGTATTCTACCAGCATCCAGAAAGTAGGAGGTCCGAGTCCAGAAGAGAATCACGATCCCGGACTAGGGATCCGGGACCCGGTCCCGGTCACAGAACGTTAAAGATAATGCGTATTTATACATTTTGATCGGATAGGAAACAGCATCGAAGTCTGTGACATTGACAATTAAGACGACCAATAGGAAGCAACATTTGAAGTGACAACCAATAAGAAACAACATTGGAGCACGTGACATTGATATCTAGGACGACCATAAAATTGACCAGTAGGAATTAACCAATAATAATTGACCAATAATTCTCTTAGGATATTGGATGAATATCCCCTAACACTACTACTATATATCAAACTCGAATGCTTCTAGATAGGATTTAAGATCGATCAATAAAACCTTTTTATATGTACGACTAAGCTGGTAAACCAGTAACTAGCTATGAAATTCGAAGAAGGATATGGCGTTAGGTCATCATAATCGATTCACAGATATGGGTACTTGACTTGACTTAACCAACAACTTCATTATGATGCATTGGCATTTCAGCTATCCAGTTCCAAACTTGAAGCTTATCGTATCTACTTTGAGCGACAGAGTAGTATGTCACCACCTCGCTGTACACAAAATATTTAGGATAAAATTGAACAAACGAAGTTAATCATACTCTGTCAAAATCATACAGAACTAATCGGTAGATTTATAGACAAAAGAATAACTGATTCATAGGCATTTACTGTATTTTTTTTGAAAAAAAATAACTTACAATTTAAGATCAGCTTCAAATTCTGAGCGTAAGTTAGGTTTGGACATTTCAAAACCCATGGAATCATAACCTTGAAACGGAAAAAAAATTTCAGAGCATTAGAGTTCAAGTCCGTAAATAAGTACGATAATGATGTTGGGGATGTTAGATCTCCATGAGTCACTCGGAAAAGGTCCTAATTTTGTAATTTTATTGTGAAATTTTGAATTCTTTCATGTTTTCGCGCCAAAGACGCTCATTTCGACCTTGAGCTTGCATTTCGCACTCGCAAAATCCTTGACTGTGATTGGTTGATGGGTTATTTTAATATGCTATTTTGTGGCTCTCACCAAGGGCATCGCTATCATTGTATAAATAAGCTTGAGTTCTGTGCTTGGGAACCTCAAACATTCTGGGTGCTTATCACGACTTACTGATCTAGATAGCAAGGCCTGGGACAAACGGATTAGAATAGCCTATCGTGTCACTGCATCGTTGAGCTTTGTTCCGTTTACTGAGTAAAGTGAAGTCGTAATAGTTTCAAGCATATGAAACGAAAATATTTTTATTTATTTGAGTACAAAGGAGCACCGAAATATAGATGCATCAAATAAATTATTCTGTTTCCATCTGGGATGACTCAGATATCGTTCAGGTGCTCAAACAAAAACAGGTGGTCTTTTTAAGAGGCCAACCCCGGAACCTTTCATCCTACAGATCTAATTCACAACGCAGTATGGCACCGTTAGGAAATGTCGTCTTATGGTAGCCAATGGGTCAACAATAGATTCTTACGCTATTTTACCCCTAAGGATTCTGGAGTATGTGTGAACATTATTGATTTGGAATCAGGGTTTTTCAACTCACTAAAGTGGATATCCTCCGTGTCCACTAACCTGGTCTAGGCATCCTCTCAGTTTTGGAAGACTCCATTGATAGTGGCTAAATACGCGTGGCTGTATGAGAACATCCAGTGAAGAAGAGCGGACTAATCCCAACCTTGGCCATACCACGTGTATTTAAGGTCAGATTACTATCGACAATCATGATGAAACACAATTTTGTGATCAATATTACAAACACTATGCATGAATGGATAATGGAAATATTGTTTATGTAAAAAATTCAAGGAATCATTATTCTATCATAGTGGCTTCTCTTCATATTTAATTCAGGCTTGAATAATCAAAGCATTGTTTCAACAAGGTTGATACTTCAAGTCAAACGAACAAATCACTAATTATCAAACACATAACACTTGACAGGATTGAAATTCAATCACACTGTTTACTCTACAACGACTGCCACTAGATAATTTTGACGTCCATTCAATGTATCTGTACAAAAACTAATCATTCAGCTGAGAAAATCCCAACATGATTATAACATTCTCTAACGTGATTCACAATAATTCAATTCTTTATCAAAAAAACACAAAGACAAACCTTCCACTAAACCCATTCCTAATTGACCTGGAACAAGAAATTTATTTTGTTCTAAACCGACATAAAGTCTTTGTTTAATTGTTTCAATATGTTCCGCATGTGTTGCGTCTGTACCAATGCCATGACGATCCATAAGTGAAATTAGATCAGCTTCTGTAAGTAAAGGCGGTGGACTTGTTTGACCAGAAACTATCTAAATGAAAGATTAAGTAATGAAATAGTTGAATTGAAATTAAACAAAGATATTAGATTTTTTTCAATTAGAGTTATGGAGATCAGTGTTTTTACAAATGGGAATCATCAATCCATCATTGTTAGACCACCATTAGATATCTCAGTCAGTCAGGCTGATATGACGAAGAGGCAACGACGAGTGTCCCTTTCCTTTCGAATCCTTACTGTCCCGTTTAGTCGGACGGCGCACAAACCACTATCTACTGGGATCCAGTCAAGGAGAGATTGTTCTGCCCTACGACTCAATACTGTACCTACACCAGCGAGACCCCAGGAAGCAGCATTAGGGCTACCGGATACACGAAGGATAAATCGAGCTGCTTCTTTATCTTGACATGGTGAGGTCAAGTGAATGATGCTACTCGGATCCTGTATGCGCGTTTCCGAGACGCAGCACACATGGATGGCACGAGATTCTAAAGTCCTAGCTAATAATGCCTGTTGCCCTATTTGACACAATGTCCGTACATTAAATGCTCCAACATGTAGTTTAGAACGGGGTTTAAGGAGACCAGGAACGACGTTTTGCGAATTCGCATCGTTTGCATTAGCTGTGCACTGTGATAAATGAATGTGAGAAGAGTTAGTCGTGGAGATAAGAGAGGTATTAGGGGGTGTAGGAAGGATTTGATTTCGACCAATTTGGTCTCGTGTGCTGTGACGTGTATGAGGGCGGTTGTCACTTCCCGGCTAACCACGCCGTGGAAGGGTGTTTCTTGAGGGACCTGAAAAGGAAGATAGATTAGTGTTGGTCTTGGAGACCTGGGAGCGTGACCGCAGAGCCCAAGGGACAACTGCTTGAGGCCGGTCACGCACTGCCTTTTTATGAAGGGATGTAGGATGAGGTGTGACATTTTTAGGGTCGACCTTTTCTGACCGCTTCCTTCCTTGTGAGAAGGCAGCATTGCTGCAGATGCTGGTTATCCGAGGGAAACACCTTACTGCTGTCACACCCCTCCATCACAGTCAGCAGTACGACTTCGCCCTCAGACCTTGAGTAGCTGCTTTTAGTTTCATCGTTCTCCAATCGACCTGTCCGACTGGCATGGTAGAACCTTCAGGAACATAAGTTCCAGCCAATATAGCTCGGTTGGGTGATCACGATAGGCAAGCCCGACCACCACGTCAAGGTAGCAGCTTCGGTCTGGAAGCACTGGACTGCCGTTTTGGCCTGATGTGGGACTCATCAACAGTGCACATGTCTGGATTACTTTGTCTCATCATGAAAACTTAGTCATACTTCATCGACTTAAGTTGACTCACTCACCTTTTCTGGTTCGCTAAGCCTGTATGCTTCACAGTATCGTGTCTGCATGAACAACTGACTGAAATAAACTTATCCAACCAAATCCGTAGTTGGCATCTTATTACCGCTGTTGCACAAACGAGGTTCGTCTAAGTATGTGTGATATACGGAAATTGATGGGGAGATTTATTTTACAGAATATTTAATTGTTGGTAAATATTAGAGTCAAATCACGGGTCATTAAAGTAGTGAGCCCTAGAACGCAGCGACCAAAACTGATAACGAAACAGTTGTTTAGTACTATCAATGGTTCTTCATTGTTGAAGATCGATCAATCAAACAAGTACTTAGACGATTGTTTCAAGGATATTTAACTAATCATATCATAGCGGCTCCTCAGGCTTATGTTACATATTACTAGTAGTAATTACAACAATGAAAATGTTTCCTAATGAAAAAAGGCGGCTAGCTGATTTCAAAGATGGTTGTTTGTAACATGATTTGCGGTGGAAAACAATCTGATATTACCGATCAAAAGACCTGTGAAAATGCAAGAGGTTGCCTCAGGATTGGTTTGCATCGGTGTCTTAACTGGTGATAGGGAGTAAAAGTAGTTGAGCGTGCCTGGGGAGTCTCATCAGTGCTGATAGCCTGGTGACTGACGAAATCTCAGCACCGGATACAGAAGGCTCGATTGGCTTTTGCCAACTTGCGTCACATATGGTGTAGGCGAGATATCCGTTTGTTCACCAAACGACGAGTGTACTAAGCAGCAGTTCGCTCCGTTCTACTTTATTGCTGTGAAGCATGACCAGTAAGAGTAAGGGATATTCGTATGTCACTGGTTTTTAATCATAGGTGTATTCGAAGCGTTGCTCGTATATCCTAGGACCATTGAGTAAGCAGTGCTGTTGTTAGGAAACGAGTACTAGGTAAGGATGGCAGGTCAGTAGGTGAAGTAGTAGTGAAACATCATCAGTTGGGGTGGTTGGAACATCTTTTATGTATGCCCAACCACCGAATACCTCGATGAGCGATGTTGTCTGATGTAGAAGTAGGCTGGAAGGAAGCTAGGGGTGGCCAAACAGAAACATCGCACAAATCCTTAAAGCCACTGAAGACTGGAATGAGCCATATTTGTAGGTGCAGACTAGCTGGTTGGGGTACACAAACGGCAGTCCCAGTGGTTAGAGACCATGAATGACATGGCTAAAAGTCGTTTGTAATGAAACAAGTGCACCCATTTTGTCTTCTCTCAAATTCCAACCTTCTGAATTGCTCATCACCTTTATCTTTCTTTTTTTAAGTTTATTTCACTAGATTTTACTTGTTGAATCATATCTTCGAACCCCAATCTTCACCATTACTGCTAGTACTTCTACTACATCCACAACTATGGGACTTTTAGTGATAACTGCTTCTCTGTGTGCGAATGTGGTATGGCGACTTGAACTGATGTAAGTACGTACGAAGTTCTACGTAGTTGCTGACTGACGACTATATTGAATGATGTAACAATGATTATCAAAATGTATAGGAAATTGTTAGGATATTCATCCAATATCCTAAGAGAATTATCGGTCAATTCCTATTAGTCAATTTTATGTTCGTCCTAGATATCAATGTCACGTGCTCCAATGTTGTTTCTTATTGGTTGTCCTGACTATCAATGTCACTTCAAATGTTGTTTCCGATTGGTCATCTTAACTGTCAATGTCACAGACTTCGATGCTGTTTCCTATTCGACCAAAATGCATAAATACGCATTATCTGTAACATTCTATGACTAGGACCAGGACCCGGTCCCGGATCCCTAGTATGGGGTCCTGATTCTCTTCTGAATTCGGACCTCGTACTTTCTGGATGCTTGTAGAATACAGGTTCTGATTCATAACAAGTCTTGTCTTCTTTTACTCAATATGGGGGTTGAGATGCTCGGATTAGAGTAGCCTGTCGCGTCACCGAATCCTCAGTCCTCGCTCTCGTTTTCCGACTAAGGTAAACAACTCGTAATAGTTTAAATATATCAAGCTGACGTGTTTACGTGTAGGCCGTAACAGAAATAAATTCACATTATTCATAAAAAATAATAATAAAATAAACTAAAATAAAATACAAGTTTACTTCAATATTATTCGGTAAAATCCATTCACCAACATGAAATATAGGAATATCTTTTTCAGCCCATCGATCATATATATAAACTTCTAAATAATTCATTGCTAATATCATAAGACCCTTTGATTCGAATAATTCACCATCTTCTGAAGTCAATAAATCAGTGGTACTTGTACTGTTGGAATTAGTTAATAATCTCGGCGGAGTAGGTTTACCAATACACAAACGAACTATAGTTTCAGCACCTTCGGCATCAGTTGAAAGGCAAGCTAGGAAATGTCTTGTTACTAATTCATAAAGACGTGCTTCATCACCCTGAAAGTGTATAGTAAATCACAATACATTATCAGAAAATTAGAACTAAAAATAATAATAATAATAGGAGTTTTTGATGATTTGTATTGCCACATTTTATGTTAGCTCCGTGTTGGGCCCCTCTCTCTGGGGCTACTGCCAGCCCCAACCTCGATTAAAGGAGGAAAGCTGGACATGCGGGTTAGCGACCCTATCACGTAGGGAAACTAACTGGGCTAAACAAAACCGCTAACCAGAAAATATAATTCAAATCATTTAAACTCTACCCGGGCAGTTGGATGGTCTTTTCATTTAGAAAACTGAGTTTTTTTTTGTTAATAAGATAGATTTCGACGTTGATAATAATAACAAAAACGTACGGACATGAGATCATTAAAAATCGACAACTCCGAAATAACGACTGTATATATGTTGGTGGTCTAACAATGATTGATTGATGATTTCAAATGTGTAAAAACACAAAACCTCCAAAATTCTGCCCGAAAATATCGTACGATGTGCTCACTAGTGACTAGCTTCTTTGTGAGGAAATTCTCGGAGTTTTAGTAGAGAAAACGTGACTAATGGAGTACAACCCCGTCGGGTGTAGGCAGTAACTACCAAAGACAAATGGGTGAGGCCGCGCAAACATCCGTAGATCAATCAGAGTTAGACATTAACACTGTTAGATGCCGCCAGCACAGTGGTCCGATGGTTAGGCGTTCGCGCACAATACCGAACGTCCCGGGTTCGAGTCCTGTGAGGTGCAGGAGTCGTGGATGTGCACTGCCACTGATGAGACCCATACCAGGAGGAAACGGTCGTCTCTCAGTGCTTCCAGGTTTCTAATGGTGGTGTAACAACGATTGATTGATGATTTCAAATGTGTAAAAACACAAAACCTCCAAAACTCTGCCCGAAAAAAGACTATATAAATTAGACGGTAGAAATATGAATGAAGTTCGATTTCGAATTGTTTTCTATTCAATAAATCAAAGGTTAATCAATTTTAAGAAAAAATCAATCACATAAAAGCGAACATGTACAGTCCAATTTAAAATGCATTAGAATATTATTTTATTGACATTTTCCTTTGAAATTATGAATGAATCATTTTGTGAGACCACCATTACAAAACCTGAAAGCACTGGACGGCCGTTTCGTCCCAGTATGGGAACCGTGAGCACTACACATCCACGATTCCTGCTACTCACAGGATTCGAACCCGGGATATTTAGTCTTGCGCATGACCACTGAGCAAGCTGCATCCAGTGGTGTTTATGTCTAACTCTGATCAATCTAAGGAATCTGCTCAACGTCACCTCTATGTCTTCGGTAGTTACTGCCAACAGACGACAGAGTTGAACTCCATTGGTTACGTCTTCTCACAAGAACTCCGAGAAGCCAGCGAAACTAACCACTAGTGAACATTAGAGTATTGCTGGACATGGGTGTTTTACCTTGAAATCATGAATGAATCATTGTTAGACCGTCATTTTCGACTGACATTTGATCAGTCTTGATTTGCCTCGATCGATATATAGCCACAAGTAAGTTCACATTAGAACAGATGAGATAAATAGGGGGCCTGGACCAAAAAAGCATATCCGGCATTACACTACTATATTCTATCAATATGATTTTAGAAAATTTACAAGATTTAAGAATTAAACACATCTAACGCATTAGTGAAGATTAGGTGCATGAATAATCACTATCATTATCACTGGTTCTAGTGTCAGAAAGAGATAGAACTTTCATACGAATGCCTCGAAGAGTAATGTTATGGTCTGATGTAGGATTAGGTTGGAAGAAAGCTAGGAGCGGCCAAACCGAAACATGGCACAAATCTTAGGAGTTAATGCCGATTGGATTGAGTCATGTTGGTAGGTGTAGACTACCTAGTCCTCCAGACAATAGTAACCGATGGTTAGAGACTTTGAATGAATGACATGGCTCAAAATCGTTTGCTATGGTACAGATGCATCCATTCTTCGTCTTTTCTCATGAGCACATGGGCTAAGGACCTCTTTTTTTATCTCTTTTTACATTTCTTCCACTAGATTCCACTTCTAGAATTATGTCTTCGGACCTTAATCTTATCTGTTACTGCTAATACTCACACTACATCTACCACTATGGGATTTGAATTCAAAATTGCATCTCTGTGTGCTAATGTGGTATGACAAGTTGAACTGATATACATATGTCAGTCAGTCAGATGCAACGTAGAACTTTGTACGTAAGTACATCAGTTCATGTTGCCATACCACATCAGCACAGAGATATAATTGTCAATTCAAATCCAATAGTAGAAGAGGTAGTAAAGGTATTAGAAGTAATCGGTGAGGTTAGGATTAGAAGATACTATTCAAGAAATATGGTTCAGTGAGAAAAGTTTAGAAAGTCAAAAGTAGAGGGGTTGAAGAATCCAGAAGATTAGGGTTTGAGAGAACACTAAGAATAAATGCACCGGCGCCACTGCAAACGGTTTTGAGCCATGTCATTCAGGGTATCTAACCATCGATTATTGTCATCTCGCGGACCCCAACCAGGTAGTCGACAACTACCGACATGGCTAAGTCCACTCGTCTATGACTTCATGGATTTCTGCCATGTTTTGGTTTGGCCGCCCCTAGCTTTCTTCCAATCTATTCCTACACTACAAAACAAAGCTCTTCGAGGCAGTCAGTGGTTCGGCATACGCAAGATATGTCCCAACCACCTCAACTGATGAAGTTTCACCCCGACCGTAGCTGCTACCTTGACGTGGTGGTCGGGCTTGCCTATCGTGATGACCCAACCGAGCTATAGTGGCTGGAACATATGTTCATGCAGGTCCTACCATGCCAGGCAGGTCGATTGAAGAACGATGAGACTAAAAGCAGCTACCCAAGGTCTGAGGGCGAAGTCGTACTGCTGACTGCAGAGGGGTGTGGGAGCAGTAAGGTGTTTCCCTCGGACAACCAGCATCTGCAGCGATGCTGCCTTCTCACAAGGAAGGAAGGGTTAGAAAAGATCGACCGTGAAAATGTCACACCTCCCCTACCTCACGGATTTCCGTCTCCTTGGGTAAGGGTGCCCACTAAGGGCCTTTAAGAACGGAGCTAATCCTCAAAATACCTTTCATAAAAAGGCCGTGCGTGACCGGCCTCAAGCAGTTGTCCCTTGGACTCTGCGGTCACGCACCAACACTAATCCATCTTCCTTTTCAGGTTCGTCAAGAAACAACCTTCCACGGTGTGGGCAGCCGGGAAGTGATAACCGCCCTCATACCCGCAACAGCACACGAGACCAAATTGTTCAAAATCAAATCCTTCCTACATTCCCTAATACCTCTCTTTTCTCCACAACTAACTCTTCTCACATTCATTTATTACAGTGCACCGCTAATGCAGATGTACATATGTACGAAGTTTTACGCTGTAACTGACTGACTGACTCACTGAGAACTTGCATACACTACATTACTGTTTACCTAACCTCTAAAAAAATACTGACGATCACATATTTATCCTTGTTACTTAACATGCGCAGAGAAATATCCCATTGATCCCTCACTATTATCATCTATAATGCGACATTTAAACATAAACTCTTGGGAAATTGTTAGGATATTATCAAATTATTTTGTGAGTCTAATTTTATTAGTCTATTCCTATTGGTCAATATTTAAGGTCGTACTAAACTATCACAGGTTCACATACTTTTAAATGTTGCTTCCTATTGGTTAGTATTCACGGTCGACCTAACTGTATAAATATGCATTGTCTGTAAAGTTTTATGCTCCTATTCTTTTTCTGTACAAAACCTTATATTTTCTGGGTGCTTGTAGAATACACTTTCTACGCCATATCAAAACTTTTTGATACCGTTAGCATGATGGGCTTGAGACGCTCGGATTAGAGTAGCCTATCGTGTCACTGGATCATTTGTCTTCACCCTCGTTTACCGACAACAAGGTGAACTCGTAATAAATAGTTCAAGCATATCAACAGACGAACATAACAGAAATCAAGGTTGAGTAAATGAAGCAGTAGTCATTCAGGAGTATTTCTTGATAGTTGTTTACATGCAACCGATCACAAAAGTTGTGATGATCATTATAGAGTATAAGAGTACACTACTTGTTAAACACTATCATAAGTAGTATGCGTCAGAAAAACAAAAAAAACAAATGAACGGTATATACCTGAAGTGAATCGCCTGCTTTTAACGGATGTATAGGTGGATGAGCTTTATCACTTGATTTGCCATTTCTAGGATTAGGACCACGTTCGAGAATTCGAGTAGCAAAATCTTCATTGAATAATGAATTAAATGGACAGAGAGAGAGAGAGAGAGACAGACAGACAGAGAAAGAAATCATTAGTTAATGAGACACTAATACTCATAATAACACATCATGATATACGCATCGATTGTTGAATGATCAACAAAATTCATCATCAAAAATGCATTTCTAAATTAGAATTTGACGTAATTGATTTACTAATCATGGTCAACCAACAGGCCTGCTGCACATGCACATCGCTGCGTTGATATGCAGCGCAAGGATTCTCACTGTTGCCAACAGTAGTAACCTCTGCCCCTTGCGGGAACATACATGTTGTCTAGATTGGACTGCAGACAAGTTGGACATCCAAAAAGTACGCACACGAGCAGTGGCCCCCACCCGGGCACTTATAGATCAAGAAATCCCTCCAACCAATCCACTACCCACAATCCCCGATCGGCAAGGGCGACATGGTGGGCTTATCCAGCTAGACCTGGCACCCCGAAGCGGTGTAATTGATTTACTAAGTATAGGTGTTCATTTTTAATTACGCCTCTTACCCCCATAAGCCGCCGACCAGCATTCTCAAACCTACTGTGGCCTGGGCCTTCCTTTTCAAGTTCTGTTCAATTGTTGTTCATTTGTCTCATGTATGTCTCCATTTCTCGATGTAATATGTTCCTTGGCCTTCCTCTTTGCCTTGACCTTGAGGATTCCAAGTGAGGGCTTGTCTTGTGACGCAGTTAGGTGCTTTTCGTAGTATGTGTCCTATCCACTCCTACCTCTTTTTCCTGATTTCCTCCTCCACTGGAGTCTCGTCTGTTCTCTCACACATTAGATTGTTGCTGTTAGTGTCTGGCCAACGAATCCGAAGTATTTTGCGTAGACAACTGTTAATAAACACTTGTATCTTCTGGATGATGGCTTTGGTAGTTTTCCAAGTTTCCGCTCCTTACAGTAGAACTGCATCGATATTATTTGTATTGAAAATCGTGACTTTGATGTTGGTTGATAGATGTTTTGAGTTGAAGATGTTCTTCAGTTGTATAAATGCTAACCTTGTTTTGCCGATCCGCGCCTTCATATATGGCACTGCGAGCCAATCACAACGAAAGTTTAATATTTGATAACATTCGTTCTTATTTTACATCGCATCATTTGTTTTCTTATTTGTCCCAAATTCGGGGTAATTTTTACTTTTCAACTCATACAGCGGCTCGCCTATGGTGGAAATCTTGTCCTAATCTAAACAACCTCACGTCACTGATTGGTCAAAAGTAGAATGCTACCACCGAATACGAATTCTAAATCACCATTTCTGAAATCACATATGCCATTGAAACTGATCTCCAACGTTCAAACACTAAAGTGAGTCGCACCACAGATAGGGTTGGCTTTATCACTAGAAAGTCTTAACATCGATGTCTGTTGTCTATCCGAGTCATGTTTTCAAGACCACAGTGACGTAATACACATTCGCCACTTCGCAAAGATTACTAGGCAGGATATTTGGCATCTTCTTTTGGTCTTGCTGGTGCTGGTCTCGCACTAAGCGCTATGGCCGAGGAATCGATTGGATCCTCACTAACAGTCGATTACGTGATGTTAGATTTAAAAGCTCCATCGAAGTGGGAAATCAGTGTAACAAACGATGCCTTTATTATTATTTCCTCCTATGCTCTGACAGATTGCAGCCCGAACGCGATCAAGGATGAGTTCTACCACCAGTTAAATGATCTTCCGAAAGTGCGCTCAACAGACATCGTAGTACTACCTGGAGACTTGAATGCATACAGTCCGGGCGTCTAGGCATAGAAGAGATTGGCCAATGGAGAACTGTTAGTTGCAGGTCAGAAGACGGCGATCGTCCACTGCAACTTTGCACCGACAACAACCTGTTTCTGGCTGGCACTAAATTTCGGCACAATCATCGATACCTGGCATCCTATCTCTGTATCTCAAGCCTGGATTCTGATTACATCGCGGTCAGCGACCGCTGGTATGTTTGTGTACATGAACTTGCACTCACTCTTGGTAGTGAGGAGATAGAGGTAGTCGAAAAGTTCATGTACCTGGGTGACTGTTTAAATGCTGGTGATGTCAGTGATGAGATTGATTCACGTATAGTGAAAACCAGAGCGGTCTACGCCGATCTGGGTTATCTTTGGTGCCTTTATGATATCAGTCTGACTATGAAAGGTCGGGTCTACAATGTGTCGGTAAGAGTAGTTTTACTCTATGCTTGCAAAACCTGATCTCTCCGAGTTGAAGATATTAAAAAAACTTACTAGGCCTGATCACTGCTATCTCTGAACGATTGCTCACATTTAGTGACATCATGCTAGTAATGCAACTTAGGAACGTGAGTTTGAGCACAGAAACGATAATTCAATCGGTGTCACTATCTTCGAACACCGACTTCGATAGCTTGGTTATGTACCATGAAGTCATCCCAGAGAAATCCACATCGCGCATTGTTTCCCAAAGCTAAGACTAGTCGGAAAAAGCGGAACGTGGTCAGTGTATGACATAGTGTTGTGGTATGGAACACATCTGCACAGGATCGGCATCTGTTAGTGTTAGTGGGACATAGATGGAATTAAAGCATGACTACGTTGCTGCGCGCTGATTGGCTAATTTCCTACCCAATCAGTGCCTGATCGAATCTTGGAGAACAGGGTAGAAGATTCTCGTACTGTTAGTTGCGTGCTGATTGGTTAAATCTAATCCGGTGGATCACCTGAATTTCTATCCAAAAGCTTCTCATGTAAATGCCTTCTTTGCCTTCGCCATCACCTCTGGCTTCTTATTCCTTGCTATTTTGGAATATAATCATTTCCTGTTCAACCGTGTTTTTGATTCTTGGGAACTTGTCCAGTGTATTGTGGTCAGAGAATACTAAGCAATAGGATTTAGCTGGGAATTATCTAAGCAAGCGTTACAACAGTTAGTGCTTCACAACTCCCTGGTTGGGGCTAATGGGACTCAGTACCTTGAGACGTCATCAGACATAACTCAGAATCAAAGCAGCAGCGGTGCTGCAGTAACTTTCTGTTATTTTCTTCACATAATCAAGAGGAACCTCTTTACCTGAAAGGATTCTTTCAGATTGTACTTTCCTTAACTGAACCGTTTTTTTCACTAGTATTACTAATATTTCACTCTCATACAATAATTTCTATCCACTTTTTTTTCGTCATTCTTACTGTACTTTCTCTAACTCTTCACGACCTCATTTTTATTAAGTGGCGCATATAGTTTTTGGTGCCCAATTGTACCGATTTCTATGTGTTCACTACCTCTAACAGCCACCACATTACATCTCAATATAATGCACACCCAGATTAGTGAACATATTCGATCAGCACTGAGGTAGGCCCTGAAATATATGATATTGGTCACCCCTACCCAATGATCGATCAAGATAATGTTCGGCACAAATTAACAATACTGATGAGGCGCAACCACTCTCTTAACAATGGATAAAACCAAACACTTTCAGATTTCCTAAATAAATCATTGTTATGAGAGTGTAGTGAGTCATTCAATGTCTAGCTCATATGACTTCCGTCCCACTTGTCGTTTTTTTTTTACCTTGTCACTCATTCGTCGATTGTATTCATGTTTGTGCATGTCTACTCGTTTGCTACATGTCTGTCTTATTTTTTGACTGACTATAAATTCCTAGTCATGCTTTATCTCTGGGAGTTGGCTCATTAGCCTTCTCCAACGCGCTTCGCCTGTTCATTCGCTTCCTTCGCCTATTCGTTCGCATTGTAATCCTAGGAGTTGGCTCATCAGCCTTCTCCGATTCACGTCGCTTTGTGGTGTGCCAAAAATAAACGTATTCAACACTTTGTGTTCACCTTCTGATTTATAAACTGTCAGACGTTAGTTAGTAACAATTGTCTGGACGAGCTAATTACCGCGGTTAAGAACACACGCAGTAAATTTACACACCACAAGAGCTTAAACACAAATACTTTTCAAAATGTCAGTCAAATAATTTTTTACAAAAAAATAGCTTACTGGACCAACGAGAATCGTTTGTTTGAACACGCACTAGACTTTTAAGATCTAAATCCGGTGGGAATATTTTAGTTTCTGTACGAGGATATGAAATGAAACCTTTATTGTAAAGACGTTCGGCTAGCTGCATTGCATACTTAGCTCCCATATGTAATTTTCGAGAGGCTAATTTCTCCAATTCCTTTACAGTAAATAAAATACGTAAAATATTGTGTTTTGAACAGAAAAAAATTCGCATTACGGGGTTGTGAAGATTGTTAAGTTACACATTTTTGAAACCATGAATCGATCAATGTTAGACCACCATTAGAAACCTGGAAGAAGCACTGGATGGCCGTTTCGTCCTGGTATGGGACTCCACAGCAGTGAGCATCCACGACTCCGGCACCCCGCAGGAGTCGAACCCAAGGACCTTCTGTATTGTGTGCGAACGCCTAACCATCGGACCACTTACCCGGCACCTAACGGTGTTAATGTCTAACTCCGATCAATTCACGGAGTTGCGCAACCTCATACACAGTCTTCGGTAGTAGTTACTGTCTACACCCAAACAGGTTGAACTTCACTGGTCACGTCTTCCCACTAGAACTCGGAGAAGATTCCTCACGAAGAAGCTAGTCGTCACTAGTGAGCACAGGTAATTTGCATTACGGGGTTGTGAAGATTGTTAAGTTACACATTTTTGAAACCATGAATCCATCCTGCGGGTTGCAGGAGTCATGGATGCGCACTGCTGAGGAGTCCCATACCAGGATAAAACGGCCGTCCAGTGCTTCCAGGTTTCTAATGGTGGTCTAACATTGATCGGTTCATGGTTTCAAGAAAAAAATTCGTTAAACTTTAAACTCTCTAAAAAAAATTAGTGACAATCGTGAAACGTACATCATCTTACATCATCAAAGAATAACTATAGAGAAACACTCCTATTGGCTTCTACACTTATTATCGACAAATAACTGAATTTTGAGAAATAATTAATGCGAAAATGAATTACTGAAAAATGGAACAGCGGTATCATTTGTATGATAATTCTAGTTAGATTTGGTTTTATAACGTCATGTTTTAATGAGGCTGCTATTCTACCGCCACACATACAATAAGGTTCATCATCGAATACATTATTCATTCAGTGAGCGAATGAAAATTACGTACGTCTACGCTACAAGTTCGCAAAGCGAAACTAGCATTCTGAACCCATGCGTAGATTACGTCATACATATTAACTAACTAGAATTTACAATATGATTGAATTGGTCAGAGAGCTCAATCATTTAAAAACCCCTTATGGTCAAGGGAAGCGCGCACGGCAAATACTTTTGTATTCTTAACCAAGGCATTTAGAAGATGGCATTTTATCAGTATGTTTACCAAGTAGAACTGTCAAATGCGCATTTCATATCAATCAGTGTTGGGGATGTTAGATCCTCGAAACTCGCTTGTTAAATGCCTTATTTTGGATTCTACGTTTGCCAGCATGGGCTGATCAGTTGACCTTGAGATTTCAATTCCCACCAGCAAAATCCATGACTGTGATTGGCTGCTGTGTATTTTAGTGTGCTATTTTTGTGACTGACCCAAGGACATTTCTATGATGTATAAATAAACGCGATTTGTGTGCTTGATTGCATTGTGCTTGCTGGGTGTTTGTAGAATATACTTTCTACGCTTACAAAGCCTTCTTACTTTAGTTAGGGATTCAAGGTAGCCTATCTGGATGCTGGTAAAAGTCTCGTTTGCGTTTATCGACTAAGGTAAACTCGTAATAGCCTCAAGCATACTTAGTGACGAACATAATATTTGACGACGGGGATGGGACGGGTGACGAACACAGTAGTCAGTAAGTTTCCAAGATGATCGATCCCTGGAAAGTAATGGGGACAGTATGATTGCTTCAAGGATATCTATGACGAAATTATATAAAGCTTAGGAGTAAGAAGTTTTGATGAACACCAACTTGTAGTTTAACGAATCTCATGAAAGATCCGCATAAGCTTTGGTTTGAGTATTAGATTTCAAGTAAAAAGAGCCTTTACAAGATTTATGTACTGTATGTACTATATAACCTCAATGCAGAGAAAATGACATGAAAGTTTATTGTTAAACTTACTACTGTATCTAAAGCAGTTGGACGCCATTTGGTTTTCGGACGTTTGATAACTTCGATAATTTGACCATAACGATTCTGTTTTTTTTATAAAAATTTGGAAAAAAAAACAAGCTTATTGAAATCATGGAATCGATCAATGTTAGATCACCGTTAGAAAACTGAAAGCCCTGGACGGTCGTTTCGTCCTGATATGGAACTCATCAGCACTGTGCATCCACGACTCACTCCTGAACCTCGCAGGATTCAAACCCAGAACCTTCGATCTAACGCGCGAATGCCTAAACTGCAGACAACTGAGCCGGTATCTAACGGTCAGTCAGTCAGTCTAGAACGGGGTTTCAAGAGACCAGGAATGACGTTTCGTGAACTCGGTTCGTCTGCATTAGCGATGCAGTGAGAAAAACGACTGTTAGTAGAGTCCGTTGTGGAGAGAAGAGATGTATGTGTGGGTGTACGAAGGATTTAATTTAGACCAATTTGGTCTCGTGTGCCGTTACGGGTATGAGGGCGGTTGTCACTTCCCGGATGCCAACACCGTGAAAAGGTGTTTCTTGAGGGACCTGAAAAGAAAGATAGATTATTGTTGGTCTTAGAGACCTGAGTGCGAGACCGCAGAGCCCAAGGGACTACTGCTTGAGGCCGGTCACGCACGGCCTTTTTATGAGTGTTAGCTCCGCTCTTAAAGGCCCTTAGTGGGCACCCTTACCCAAGGAGACGGGAGTCCGTGAGGTAGGGTGAGGTGTGAAAATTTTAGGGTCGATCTTTTCTAACCTCTTCCTTCCTTGTGAGAAGGCAGCATCTCTGCAGATACTGGTTATCCGAGGGAAACACCTTACTGCTGTCACACCCCTCCATCACAGTCAGCAGTACGACTTCGCCCTCAGACCTTGGGTAGCTGCTTTCAGTCTCATCGTTCTCCAATCGACCTGCCTGGCATGGTAGAACCTTCAGGAACATATGCTCCAGCCAGTATAGCTCGGTTGGATCATCACGATACGCAAGCCCGACCGCCACGTCAAGGTAGCAGCTACGGTCGGGCATCTAACGGTGTTCATGTCTAACTTCGATCAGTTCAACGTATTAAAATACAGATATTTCCAGTACAATATTAACTAAGCCTCATTCACAAACTGTCTCTAAATGCTAAATTCGCTACATTACCAAGTAAAACACCAAGAGATTAATCAGTTTGCACGAAAAAGTGGATTAGCTTTTTTTCTCATCCCCAACAACTTTTCAAAATCTAATCTAGATGAATGCCCTAAATCTTGGCAATATGGAAACTAGAATTTTAATTATTCATGCAACCAGATTTAGAACCAAATTACTGACACAACACCCGACCGTAGAGGCTATCTTGATATGGTGGTTGGGCTTGACTATCGTGATGACCAAATCGAGCTATATTGGCTAAAACATATGTTCCTGAAGGTTCTACCATGCCAGTCAGACAGGTCGATTGAGAACCATGAGACTAAAAACAGCTACTCAAGGTCTGACGGCGAAGTCGTACTCCTAACTGGCTGTAGAGGGGTGTGACAGCAGTAAGGTGTTTCCCTCGGACAATCCGGCATCTGCAGCGATGCTGCCTTCTCACAAGGAAGGAAGGGTTAGAAAAGGTCGACCCTAAAAATTTCACATCTCACCTTACCTCACAGATTCCCGTCCTCGGTGGTAAGGCCACTTGAAGAGCGGAGCTAAAACGTCAACTTCCCATAAAAAGGCAATGCGTGACCGGCCTCAGGCAGTTGTCCCTTGAACTCTCCAGTCACGCTCCAAGGTCGTTAAGACTCAGACTAATCCAACTTCCTTTTCAGGTTCCCCAAGAAACAACCTTCCACGGTGTCGGCAGCCGGAGAGTGACATCCACCCTCATACCCGTACCAGCACACGTGACCAAATTGGTCACAATCAAATTGACTGACACAACAAAATTGAAGATCTTTGAAAAACTATTAATCATAGTTACACTATTATATTTGCTAAAAACTATTGGATTTCCATTTGCTTTTCTGTTAGTTAACTAGCGTGTAATGCCAGAATAAGTAGTAGAATGTCTCATGAATCAGTCGTCAGTTGTACGCAAGGTAGTCAGTCAGTCAGCTAATGACTGATTGAGACGCAGTCGTAAAGATATATTTTAGATTAGTACAAGCAGTAACAGTATTAGTAAGTCAAATGTGCTGGGTCTTTCCGCTTTTAGGATACATTCACTTTTTGTCTTCCTTTAGAGTTTGGAGTTTTAAAAATCATCTTTTACTTGCCATTTCATGGATTCACTCTTCTTTTTTAATGTGGAGAGTCAATCAGAATTGGAAGATGACATTGTATACAAATAGGCTTTCTCTTCTATTCTCACCTTCTTGCTTAAACAACCAGTTTGAACGATTAGTGCGTATCGCTTCCAAATTTCAGACACCATCCATCAAAACACTTCATATTCTTGTTTTCTGAATCTTTTCCTTTTCTAATGATACTATTACTACTTCTACTACGCTGGGACTTGATCATTTTATCTTGCTACACTCATATATCACAACAACTTGAACCAATGCACATATATCTCAAGACTCTGTGTTATTCATGAATGACTAATTGACACAAATGAAACAACCTAACACATCCTCATTAATGTGTAGGTCGAATAACCAATGAACGATCAATTTTTGACAAGAGTTCTGTACAAAAGAAGGATAACTTTCATTGGTAAACAATCATTTTCTTACACTGAAATCATGATTCGAAACCTGAAAACACTGGCCGATCGTTTCGTCCTAATGTGCCACTCATCAGTAGTGTGCATCCAAGACTCTTGCTACCCGAAGGATCCAAACCCAGGACCATTGCTTAACCTCCGGACCACTAAGCCAGATGCGTACTGCTGATTTATCCCATACCGGGACGAAACAGCCGTCCAGTGCTTCCAAGTTTCTAATGATAGTCTAACAATGATTCATTCATGATTTAAATGTGTACTAGAATGCAAAATCATTTACTGGTTTACAATAAAATGTAATCGAATTTAAGATAAACTGCATAAAGAAGTTGTTATGTATTCATTCAACATACTTGATGTAAATGTTCACAGTATGCTCGACAACAATCTTGATCGAAAAGACGTCCACTAATGGTAAAAAATGAGAAGAAATCAAAATATTAATTATAAATGCAATGATCAGTACTGTTTTATAGAAGTGACTAATTGAAAGACATTATATTTAACATACCGTTGCCATTGAAATTCTGTTGTTTTCTCATTGCGTGATACAGTGACTGAAAAAAAACCCAGAAAAAAATGGATAGATGAACTGTGATCATTTGATAATCACTAATCAAAGGTGGGTGCAGTTAAATCAGTTATAAAAACTGAAATGATAGAAATCAGTCAGATAGAAAATTTGGCACATAGCATAGTAGATCAAGGAAAATTAAAAAGGTGAGGGGAGGTGAAAAAAACGAATTGAGGAACGTCGCTCAAACCCGACCGTAGCTGCTACCTTGACTATCGTGATGACCCAACCGAGCTATATTGGATAAAACATATGTTTATGTAGGTTCTACCATGTCAGTCAGACAGGTCGGTTGGAGAACGATGAAACCAAAAACAGCTACTCAAAGTCTGAGGGCGAAGTCGAACTGCTGACTGGCTGTAGAGGCATGTGACAGCAGTAAGGTGTTTCCCTCGGACAGCCAGGATCTGCAGCGATGCTGCCTTCTCACAAGAAAGGAAGGGGTTAGAAAAGATCGACTCACAGATTTCCGTCTCTGACGGTAAGGCCTTTTAAAAAGAGCGGAGCTAACACTTTAAAAACTTTTTATAAAAAGGCCATGAGTGACCGGCCTCAAGCAGTTGTCCCTTGAACTCTGTGGTCACGCTCCCAGGTCTCTAAGACCAACGCTAATCTATCCTCACTTTCAGGTTCCTTAAGAAGTACCCTTCCACGGTATGAGCAGCCTCGAAGTGACATCTGCCCTCATACCCGTAACAACACAGAAGACTAACTGATAACGTTAGAAAAAAATACAGAATAATACTATTCTCAAAATTTAGCGGAAGATAAGGATTGTGTATAACTGCACTACTGAAACTGAATATCCGTTGTATCAGCTAAGATGTTTCGCTAATCTTGTGGATTCTATTTATGAGGTTTACAATTGAGAACTCACTTCAATCTAATGATCAACAAATTCATAAATTGATGTTATGTTTGATCTGGACTCCATAAACTAAGCGGTAACATAGCAGACGCTACATGTGTCCGTTACTCGGTGCTTCCACCACAGACAAATAATACTTGGAAGACATAAGTGATAGAGTGCTAACAAACTATTCAAACTACTTTTAGGAACTAAACTTCATATCTGCAAGATAATATATGAGTTACTGATGGGGGAATTTTTCTTAAAACTGACATTAGCACATAGATGCAATTGTCAATTCAAATCCCATTGTAGTAGAGGTAGTAGAAGTATTAACAGTAATGACTTATATCATGTCCAGTTTACCGTTATCATGCATAACGTAACTACATAATTTTAATAATAACTTACCTACAATACGCCAAAATGGTTCAGAGACAAACTGATCAACTTCTCGAAAGCGTTCTACAACGAAACCAAGAGTTGGGAATTGACAAGATCCATACGAAATCAATTGATCACTAAGAGCTTGAGGGAAAACTCGCCTTAACCGTAAAGTTTGGAAGCGTGTAAAAGCAGCCCCAATACGTAAATCTAACTCCTGACGCACATCAACAGCTGCGCTGGCATTATAATCAGGAATTGTAAGCTGGTTTATAGCACGATGTATAGCTCTAAAATAAAGATTTAAAAAATCACAATCCCTTAGAACGAGAATTGAGAATTCAAAAACAGATCATTCAAATAATCCACAACGAGAAACCATTGCTCGTATATCCTGGGACAACCGAGCGAGCAACGCTGTTATTAGGAATCGGGTGCTAGGTAAGAATGGCAGATCAATAGATGAAGTAATGAAACTTCATCAGTTGAGGTGGTTGGGACATGTGCTGCGTACGCCCAACCACCAACTGCCTCGACGAGCTTTGTTTTGTAGTGTAGGAATAGGTTGGAAGAAAGCTAGGGGCGGCCAAACCAAAACACGGCAGAAATCCATGAAGTCATTGACAAGTGGACTGAGCCATGTCGGTAGTTATCAACTACCTAGTTGGGGTCCGCGAGATGATAATAATCGATGGTTAGAGACCCTGAATGACATGGCTCAAAACCGTTTTCAGTGGTGCCGGTGCATTTATTCTTTGTGTTCTCTCAAATCCTAATCTTCTGGATTCTTCAACCCCTCTAGTTTTGACTTTCTAAACTTTTCTCACTGAACCATATTTCTTGAATATCTTCTAATCCTAACCTCTCCGATTACTTCTAATACCTTTACTACCTCTTCTACTATTGGATTTGAATTGACAATTATATCTCTGTGCTGATGTGGTATGGCAACATGAACTGATGTACTTACGTACAAAGTTCTACGTTGCATCTGACTGACTGACAACGAGAAACATTATTATATCGTTGAACATATAGCGACCTATCAGCTGTTAATTTTAAACTATTGGTTGTCAGAATATCTGTATTTTAGAATTAACGGTGTGAGAAATAAATCGGACACATGTGCGATATTTAGTTATATTTACACCTAACTATAACAAAAAAAACCGTTGCTTAATGAAGGTATATAATCACGTATTACAAAAACTGAAGTGAGAGCACTATACAAAAAAGTGAAGGTGAATAAAATAATAACGAAGATTTTTAAAAAGTAATATACACTGAAACAGCGTGATTAAATTTTGCTTAGTTAAATGTATCATACATTTTCAGATTTTTGTACTTGGCTACAAGCCACATACCAGGCATGTGAGCTAGTGATACCTCCTGATTGCCCAACCTGAAGATGAGGTGGAATTCGAACCCGGGACTTAGTATCCGAAAATCGAATGCTTTCAATTACTAGACCGCTGCTGCGATTTCACAATAGGAGTAATAATGAGACTCAGTGTACACACGGCATACAGCTCTCTTTCAGACTAGCACACAACAATAGCACCATATGAATTCACACAAACATTACTGATACTGATCTTATGACAGATAAAACGAATACTTAGTGATCTATTTTGCAGTAAATGAATATAGAACATGTAAATAAACAGCTAATACAGATTCTTATAGCATGCTAAATGACTAACCGAATTTGAAAGCAACAGCTACAAAATATCAACTAAAAAGCAGCAGATAGTTTTGACAAATCATTGACTTACGCCGATGTAATTTCAGAAAACCGAGCACGAAGAACTTCAATGTTTGGTTTAACTGTAATAAATATTATTTAGTTGTCACTTCTTGGAAAGAAAACACCTACCTTCTTTACAAACATCAATTATTTCAACACCGATATTTTCACCTTCACGATCACAATCAGTCCATATGATTAATTTTTGACAGCTTCGTACTTCACGTTGTAATGTTTGCTAAAAATTCGAGGGTAATCACTCTTATGAACTGAGAAAAAATAAATCTGTATCGTTTTGCATTTTCATCTTTGTACGCTACTTAACGGAAGAACAGTGGTATGTTTCTTAATTAGATTTTAAAGTTCTGACCGTTTATAAGGTATCAAAACTACCCATTCGGTAACTTAAATTGAATTAGTTTCAGTTTAAGCATCAAGTACATCGTCTCGAAACCATTCCCTTAAGCACCTAACAAATTCTACCATTTGTTACATGTAAAAACTACTATTTTAATTTTTGATGGAAATAATCTTTAGTGAAAGTACCAAAGGATGTGTCAGTTATCTACAATGTCTTTGATTTTTACTGATGCACTTGAGTAAAAACTACTTGTTTTCAGTTAAATAAGCTAACAGTTAACTCTCAGATCGATTTTTGTGTCAGCTGTTCACTGTTGGTTGTCAGCTTTGTTTTCATTCAGTGACTGTACTGTGTAAGAAGAGTAGTTGTCGTCGTTACCCAGTTGAAAGTGGTATGTATTTTGACGAGCGTAAAAATTGGGAGGTGAAGTTTGACCTGAACATTAACAGCATATTTCTTGGGTAATGATACTCACTCCTATGAATCAACGCAACCGGCAGGTCCGGTGATGGAGATCGGACCAATCTGTCACTCTATCGATACCTGCCATAGGTCTTTTGTCATTATCAGTTTTCCTATATGCTGACAATATTAAGTTATGAAGTACGATGGTTGACGCAGTACCTCAGCTGGTTGGCGGTAGCCTGGATAAAACACACATGATATACGACAATGGCGGTGGCTAGCACTTAGCACAAGCCTTCACAACACTATGTCAACTAGCGTTCTCCGGGCGTTTGGTCCGTAACATGTCACATCTGATAGCTGTGAACTTCAGAAACCGGAAAGACCTAACTGAGGCGTTTTAGGAATGATGATCTCCCTAGTCATATTAAATGTCAGTCAGATAAAAGGGAGGACATATAAAGCACAAACTAGGATCAGTCGCAAAGCATAGCACTGACAGTAAGACAGAGTTCCACCGCGTATTCCATCAGACGGAAACCCAAAAAATTAATTTAGGTCTAAGCGTGAATGTTGATTTACTAATATGGCTTAACTATATGCATAAAAACATAAGGAATATTAAATAAATGAGATCGCTATGACACAGACCAACTAACCTTTATCGGTTCGTAATCTTTGAGCACTTGTTTGGCAATCGGTGCATTAAAAAGCACCATTGGGTTACAAGAATGCCTAAGAAGTAATGAAGAACTGAACCCGAAATTACCATGACTTGTAATTTGGGGGGAAATCATAATTAGTCAGATGACCTGACACAGAAGTCATTACCATGATGACATTCTGACCATTGAGATTCATAGGAAACTCATATAATTTGTTAAACTTTGATAACCCTTCTCTCTGGACATAATAATATTTCTATAAGATTAATATACTACCCTTCGGGATCCGCCGCGACTTAAGATTTCCGCAATATTCTTGGCAGCATCGTTTTTTTCAGCAACACTAAGAACCTTCATTGTGAGTTTACGAATGCCAAACGCTGTTAGGGACCCACTGATATTCAACAGTAGGTCCAAACACCTTAAAACCATCAGCTGGTTTAGTTTGGCGCTAGTTCACTATCCAATGTTTCTAGGTCGGAGTAGTTCAATATCCAATATATCTAATCCAATATCCAATATCTTTTTCACGAGCTAGTGTAAACCAATTTGATTTCTTCGCGCTCGATTCTTGTTCTTTCGGTACGGTTCCAGGTGTTCCGTAATGTCCAATGGATGGAGGTCTAGCCACTCGACTGTCTAATTCTAGTCAGTTGGCAGTTGGTTGTGAGTTTGTATGTCTCGGGATTTGAATGAAACGTTTGTTTCAGGGCAGTAGGGTTTCTGGATACTAGCAGCCGTCACTTTACCAAACCGGAGATCAGTTAGTTGCAATGTGGAGAGTAATAAGGGTAATAAGGGTAAATTAAAATGATAATATGAGTAAAATTTCAGAACTGAGTAATATATAGATGAATTTAGTTTATTAATTGGTAGTGAAGGTTGTGAGAGAGGACCGAAGTGTAAGCAAGGGAGAGGAATAGGCGAGTTAAATTAATTAAGTGATCTGAGGAGATGGCAATGGTAACAACTAGCAGGTCTCAAGATATGCATCAGGCACAGCTTGTCCAAGAGGGAGATGATAGTCCGCATGTGAGTACGTGATTATCAAGTCTCTTCTTAAAGCAGTCCACTGAGGGGGCTGTAACTACCTCGGCTGGGAGAGCATTCCAAGTTGCGACGACTCGCAATGAGAAAAAGTGTGCACGAACCTGAGTGTTTGCTCTTTGATGTGCAATCTTTTGAGGATTGCCTCGAGGGGAGTGGTGGTGATGCATCGGTAAGATGCTCACATTGGGATGGTTGGGCGTGTTTAATATGGTGTACGCCATAATCAGGTCACCTCTGATTCTCCTGTAGCTCAGTGGGAATAATCCCAAGAGCTGGAGTCTATCGTCGTACGGTTTATTTTTCAGCCCTATCACCCATTTGGTTGCTCGTCTCTGCACTCGATCCAAGAGATTAATGTCTCTTTTAAGCATAGGGGGTGCGATGACGTTGTGAACCTCCAAGTGTGGGCGCGCGTACGTCTTAAACAGGGTTAAAAATAATTTCGGGGTTATAGCACCAAGCTGTCTTCGCATAAAGTGAAGAGTCGCATTTGCCTTGGCTGCATCCCCTACATAGTTCGGACTCGTGTGGAGGCTTTCTGTGGTTATTAAACCAAGATCGCGCTCTGAGGAGACATTAGGGAGCGGACTTCCATTGAGAAAGTAGGTGGTTTGCGTCATATGAGGCAGGAAATGCATGACGTGGCACTTCGGTTGGTTAAGTTTTAAACCGTTTTTCACTGCCCATTCCTCAATGGATGTAAGGTCCTTTTGAAGCTCAGTCGAATCCTCTTCGCTTCTAATGGATCTCCAGATCTTCGCATCGTCTGCGTAGATCAGTGCCGGTGAGCTAACTAAGCTTAGCAGGTCGTTAATGAATATCAGGAAGAGGAGTGGGCCTAGGATGGTCCCCTGTGAAACTCCTGAAGTGGAAACTCTCCAACTCGCGTGCACCCTGTTTACCTTGGTGCGAAACTTTCTATTCTCAAGGTAGTTTCTGAGCCAAGATACGAGCGGGTCAGTGAAGCCCATTTCCACAACCTTTTCGATTAGGCGTGCGTGGGGCACTGTGTCAAAGGCTTTTGCGAAGTCGAGAAATACTACGTGCACTGGTATTTTACGGTCCAAGCAGGATGTCCAACTGTCCCATGCGATGAGAAGATTAGATGCACACGACCTGCCTTTCCGAAACCCATGTTGAGCTTCATGGAGTATTTTAGTCTTATCCATGTACTCCCTCATTTGTTCGTCCACTAGCCCTTCCATAACCTTTGATAATATAGGTAGTAGTGCGACTGGTCTGTAACAGGCTGGGTCCTTTCTATCTCCTCCTTTGAAGATTGGAGAGAGAATAGCTTGTTTCCATTCCGCTGGGAATTGGTGTGACTCCAGTGAATGCCTGAAGAGGTTGCATAACGGTGAACAGAGGGCTTCAGCGCACTGTTGCAAGACTATAGGGCGGATGTTGTCACAACCTGGTGACTTACCTGGGCGTAAGGATTTTAGTTTCCTTGATACTAGGTCAGGGGTGATACGGATGTTCCCTAAGCCGTCAGCTGGCATTGGGTTGGCGTAATACTCTGAACATGTAGGCGCCTGGTTTAATTGATCAGAAAAATGGGTGTTGAAGATCTCGGCCATTTCTAGGTTGGTGAGGTCTTCTCCGTTAGGCCCTTTTAGGGGGCACAACCCTTGATTAGTAGGTTTTCTTTTGGACATGAACCTAAACAGATGTTTCGGGTTTGCCTCTATTCTGGCGGCTAGTATCGTCTGGAATTGTCTCCTGTCGCTTCGAACTTTGGTATTGCATCTGTTTCTCAATGCCAAGTAAGAACTGCGATCGGAATCCTTCACTGCGATCGGAATCCTTCACATAATTGTGAATAAAGTAAAAAGATGGTTTTGCGAAATACATGACCGATCTATTCAAGTATGAAGATATGGACTCTGGATAAGCAATAACAAACACTTAGGTGCACAAATGAGATGTGAATTCGTGAATATATATAGCCTGACAACCCTATTTCTCGAATTTGGAGAAAACATTATCCGTCAGAGGAGCTATGATGTCTCATGATGAAATCCGAGTTCCTTTGGAATACAAGAAGCCTACTACTTTTTTGACAACCAGAACAACCATTCTTTTAGGTAACCGAAATTTTCGAACAATGTAGGAGACCGAGAGACTGTTCGAAATTGCTACAGAAATTAGAACCTGGAGGTGCTTGGAATATTGAAACGCTTTGGAAACAGGTTGGAAAACTGACACTAGTTTCAGCAGGGCTGCCGCCATCAAGAATAAATCACTTCACATTCACAAGGAGTTGCACTGATGCTGTCCAAACAAGCACAAAAGTCACTGATAGGATGGGAATCTCATGGACCCAGGGTTATCAAAGCATCCTTCATAACAAAGAAAGAGGGCATTACAATGAACATCACCCAGTGCTATGCGCCTTTTGATGACTACAATCACGAAGTTAAAGATCAATTCTACCTGAGGCCGGAGACAATCATCCAGAGATGTTCAACAAAGCTTTTGACCATTCTAATCAGATACTTAAATGCCTGCAGTGAAATAATTCTACGAAGAAAACGCAATTAGTGAAAAAGAAGCATTCATCATTGTACTACTTTTGTTTGACTGTACTAAAAGCACTTACTTACGCCCAACTTTCTGTTTTTGCGTTGCTATCATCATTCATAACTTGCTGCTAGTTATGTCGCCCACTTTCTCCAAATATATTTGTTACCCTGGATTTACTTTTTAATAACGTGAAGGGGTTGTAATTAGTAATTATTATTTAGAGGTGATGATAGTCAATCTCAACTCAGTCACTACTAAATGCCAAAGCTGAAATGGACAACGCCAAATATGCATACATCATGGCATGACATGGGCTGGTAGAATGGAACGAAAATGGTGAGAAATTTGCAAACCTGATTGCCTTCAACAAACTGATCATAAGCAGCACAGTATTCACACGCAAACGCATACAAGGATTTCACCGGATCACACTACTCGGAACCAAACCGACCATATCTGCATTAACAAAAAGTTCAGAAGGACCATGGAGGACGTGATAATGGAGAGAGGATATGATGTAGCTTCAGATCACCAACTATTTGAGTCACCAAAAATGAGACCGAAACTCCCTGGAACACCTGAACAAAAAACAGGGCGCGTAAACATCATTAAAAGTTTAATACGCTATTTTTCGGGGGGGATTCTGGAAAAGCTACACACAGATTCAAGATGACCCTCCTCAACAGGTTCGAGGCCTTGCACGATTTTACTCAATGGAGAGGAAAACAATCATGCAGGAACCAGTTGGGAACAGGGAACCAAGGAGGAAAATCCACTCCACCATCTCACAACGTTCTCCACCTTTTAGGTCACAAGAAGATACCATCACAACGAATTATTCTTGTTGGTACCCGTGCAAAAATTTTAGAAAGGTGGAAAAGAAGGCAGCAATCAACAGTCAGCCAAACAAGGCAGAGAAAACAAGGACACAAGCTGAATACACATAAGCAAACAGGGGAAGTGGAAGAAGGCATCAGAGCCACAAACGAAATCACGTCGGTAGATCTCGCAATGACTGCGGAGACTGCTGCTGCGAGAAGGAGACTCGAGACAATTGTAACGATACAACAAATAAGCTTAGACTGATAGCTATCGTAAACCAGAACAGGCCAGTGAAAAGCAACGGAAGGCAAAGTGATCAGGAAACACTGAAGAACAACGAAACAGGTGGGTAGAGTACTTCTAAGGAACTATTGGATCGACCAGCTCCACTGAACACACCCAACATCGAAACAGCATCCACGACCTCCCAATTATTATTGGCGCACCTACAATTGAGGAGATCAGCATGGCCATCAGACAAATCACAGAGCTTCAAAGCAGCAGGACCAGACAACATTCCAGCAGAGAGCAATGAAAGCAGAATGTAGAAAGCAACTGCTGAAATATTTAACACATCTCTTCAAGAAGGATTTGGTGATGAGGAACAAGT